AGTGTTTTTTGCCTTTGCTAACTTCCAAATTTCATTAGTGCAATAAAAAGACCTTTTTCTGATGCAGACATGAAATAGCCCGAAGCTATTGATTACCCAACTACCCCGGCACTTTGTCTAAGCATTGGACTGGGCGTGTGAATAGAGGCAGGAAATGGTGACCAAACTTCAATGACTTGCTTGAATTAATCAATGTCTCGAATTGAAATAATCCAAATCCAGAATTGAACCTTGATTACTTATTATCTTTAGAGCCAACGACTTGGTTGATGACTTCACAAAAGCTGGTGTTAAGTGTGACTAAGATATTATATTGGTATTTAGTTAGTTTGAGGTGGCATTGAATGTGTTTTTGATTTGTAATGAACTGATATTATTCGATACTTATTTATTTTTTTAATGAAATGTTTTTTGTTTTTCAAAAGCAAATTAAGTGGTATACTCGAATCTAAATCTGAACAACTTAAATAACGTTTGAATTTGTGTCTAGAGAGGTATGAAAAGATGAAGCAAACCCAAATGACTTACTCAACCAACGTTTGAATAGTCTAGTAAAACCAATGATCCAAGTTCAAACTTAGAGTTCGATTATTATCTTTAATAGAGTAGATTAAAGTAGCATACTGCTAGGAAAATATGCAAATCCAAATTCACATATGCTCATGTTCCTTTAAAATGACGTTCAAGAAATTAGTAAAGAAATTGATGTTGTTAGAGGAGGCACTTTTGTAATATCGTTTCTTAAAGTTCGAATATTGCAGGTCGGTTACTCCGTTAATGATTATGATTTATATTTTTAGTTTTTAAGTGTTAAGTTTGAATGTTAGAAAGTATACATTAAAATTTATGAGATGGGAAAAAAATGAGTGTTTATCTAAAATTTAAAAAGTATATATGATTTAAAACAAAGACTAAAACCATAATTATTGATGTTAAAATACAAATGGAAAACATACTATTCTTGTCTCTGACGTAGCTACGTCTTAATTCATCGCAAATTCTTGTATCATTTTCATCCGATATTTCTAGTCTGACTAAACAAAGTTGATTGGAAATTTCCTTAGGTAGACCAATGTTAATTTGACTGACTTTGTTGGCATCATCAGCAATGAGCTACCAATGGCGTTTCCTATATATTGGGTGGTTTCCATACAAAGAATGCAAACATTACTAGTTCCCATGTCATATTGGAGAACCGTGTTGTCTAGGCATTAAGAATGAATATTGGCAATTCTTGGCTGCTAATTTCATGGATGTTGATCATTGGCATCCTACTTTCACATGATGCTCACATCATATTGGCGACTGAAGGTGTTTCTGGTTCTTCCTTTGATGGAATTCCTTCGCATGACTTTCCATCTAAGTCCAATGTTGTGTCCAAAAGGAGCGCCCTAAGGCCTGACCCACCACGGCCTCCGCTTCCTTGGGGTGCTCCTCCTATTCAGCAAAGAAAATTGTCACCACCACCATGACCATTGTCACCACCTATTTCAACTTAGGTTGCTATTGCAACCTGTCGATGCCAAGCAATAAGGAACAAGTCATTGTTTGCCCTACGTTCACAAAATAATGAACTTTTTTATTTTAAGTTTGTAAGTTTGAAGTGGTCGTTGAAGCCACCAGAGAACTTGTGCTGTAACCTGTTGAAATTAAAAGTAATGTCAGCTTCAGCTGATCTTGTTGATTTATTGCTTCAATATAATTTGTTGTCCTTCTATAACAAAGGTTTCCTGCTTTTTTTGGATGATAAAAATCTAGTTAGAAAAGAAATATGTGATGATTCATATCACTTATGAAATTTTAGATGAATTATGCGATTCCATCCTTAATTGGGCAATTTATTTGCATTTTTCTTTTAAATTTGAGGCTTTAAAAATGCACATATATTGAGAAACATAATGTACCTAATTAATTATTTCAATGCAAATATAATTGTCTCCTTGACTTTAAATCCTAAGTCCATCCCTTTACGTAAAAATAAAACGATACATGTGCTCAATTGTGAGAGATTGTGCCACATCTCTAAAAAATATTACTATTAATTAGTCAATACTAGAATTTAGCCCCTGCTTCGCTACCAAGATTTTTAGTTCTTACTTTTAAATTATTATAATCTAAGATTTTAATTGTCAAAATTTTAAGATTATAGTAATATATACTACGTCGTCTGCATTCGTTTATGTGATCAAGTTAGCTACTTAAATGTTATTTTCATTTGCTAACGTCTAAATTTCATTAGTGGAATAAAAACACCTTTCATAAGTGCAGACGAAGCTTTTGATGGCCCAATTTCCCAACCCCTTTGTTCAAGCATTGGACTGGGCTCGTGACAGAGGTTGGAAATGATGACAGAAACTTCAATGACTTGCTTGAAGTAATCAGTGTCTCGAATTGAAACAATCCTAATGCATATTTGAACCTTGATTACTTACTATCTTCGACGATTTAAGCGGTAAATTCATATTTGGCGTTTTGAATCTTTAAATATTCAATTGGGAAAGTAACAAACTCATCATATTCTTCCGAGTCAATGACTTGGTTGATGACTTTACAAAAGCTGGTGTCAAGTGGAATTAATAAATGGCTTTAAAAAAAATGTAATTAAGATATGTTATTGATGTTTAGTTAATTTGAGATGACGTTGAATGTGTTTTTAATTTGTAATGGAATGATCTTATTTTGTACTATTAATGGAATGATTTATTGTTTTCAAAAAAGAAAAAAACAAATTAAGTGGTGGACTCCACTCCAAATCTGAACAATGTGTGAACTTGTGTCCAGAGAGGAAGGAAAAGATGAAGCAAACCCAAATTGACTAACTCAACCAACCTTTGCATAGTCTAGTATATCAATGATCCAAGTTCAAACTTAAAGGTACGATTTTTTTTTTTGAAATGCTCAATTATTTTATTTTTTTAAAATAAGTTTTTTATTAACTTAATCACCAATATACCATTTCTACTCTCAAATTTAAGTAATAGGAGAGTCTCATGGCATAACAATTAGTGCCATTTCAAGTCTCAATTATTATCTTTAACAGAGTAGATTAAGATAGCATACTGCTACCAAAACATGCAAATCCTAATTCACATTTGCTCATTTACCTCTTAAAATGTTCAAGAAATTAATCAAGAAATTGATGTCGCTAGAGAAGGAGCTTTTGTAGTATACTTTTGATTTATAGATTTTAGGTTTGTAATTTGAAAAATACGTCTTAAAATTTATGAGACGAAAGAAGGATGAGTTTTTATCTAAAATTTAAAAAATGTATATAATTTAAAACAAAGACTAAAACCATAATCATTGATGCTAAAATAAGGTTGGAAAATATATTATCTTTTATAAATTACATCAAGGAATAGTAATTACTTTTCTTTTCTCTCTCCTAGTTCTTTCATCGCAAATACTTGTATCATTTTTCTCCGATATTTCTCGTCAAACCAAAGAAAGTTGACTGGAAATTTCCTCAGGTAGACCAATGTTAATTTGACTGACTTTGTTGGCAGCATAACCAAAGAGTTACCAACGGCATTTCCTATGTAGTGGGTGGTTTTCCATACACAGAATGCAAACACTATTAGTTCCCAAGTCATATTGGAGAACTGTGTCGTCTGGCCTTTAAAAATGAATATTGGCAATTCTTGGCTGCTCAATTTTTGGGCTCTTAAAATAATGAACGTTTTTATTTTAAGTTTGTGACCCTGAAGTGGTCGGTGAAGCCACTAGAGAAAACTTGGGCTGTAACTTTGAAAAATTAAAAGTAATGTCAGCTTCAGGTGATCATGTCGCTGTATTGTTTCAATATAATTTGTTGTCCTGCTATAGAAAAGGTTTCCTGCTTTTTTGGATGATAAAATTCTGGTAAGAAAAGAAATATATTGTGATGCAATATCACTTACGAAATTTTAGATGAATTATGAGATTCCATCTTTAATTGGGCAATTTATTTGCATTTTTCTTTTAAATTTGAGGCTTTTAAAAGTGCACATAGATTGAGAAGAATAATGTACATAAGTTTTTTTTTTCTCGAAAGTATTCACCTGAAAGCACTTTATGGAGCATTGCCCGTAAAATGGTGGACAATATAATATATATATATATATTCTTCACTTAATTTCAAGTAATTAAATCTAGTTCAACGCTCAATAGTTATTAAAGTTTGGATCCTTGTCTAAGAAATTCAGCTGGTTAATTTATAGAAATTAGGGAATCGCCATCGCTTTTGCCTCTTACTAATATTTTACCCCATGCACATGAACAACTTGCAGAAAAGATACATGTCGAAATAAAATTTAGATAGAGATTAAGTTTGGTGAAATAAGATATATATAGTTCGATTTATGGTAGTATGCATTCATGACAAAAAGCATTCAAAATAAGGTTTATATACGATCATATTCCCTTAAACTTGGTTTGAAACAGAACAAGTGTATAATTAAGAACCTCTATTGACATTTTCAGAAAAAAAAAACAAAACAAAAAAAAAAAGAAAGAAGAAGAGAACTTGGTATCTTCCTCCCTTAGTGACTTCATTATTGTTAGTCTGGCTGCAGGCTGCTACTGGTCATTCATTAGGGTGCCTACCAATATAATAATGTGTGGTAACTCACATTGGGGAATGTTAAGGTAGTTTTGAATCGTAGTTTGATTAGGATAATTTAATTTTAATTAAATTAATATAGTTTTTTGAGATAATCTTTAAATTTAGTTAGACTAATATAACATATTTTAATTATATTAGGATAAAATTATTATACTTGGTCTTATAAAAGGATTTTATGGGATTAAAGAATAATTATCTCTTCGATTTAGAGAGAGTAACTTGAGTGTACGTGAAATAAGGGTTGTGAGTTTAATTGTATTAAGATAAGACTATTGTATTTGGTTCTATAAA